CTAAGACAAAATAATCAAATCGCATTAGTAAAAAAGGCAAAGATCAATTTAATTGCACGGCTGTCTTGGCCCCGTGATGGGCGCCAAACTGTTTACCCGTAAAATGGTAGAGTTGAATTTATACGTGATTTCTAGACAAGTGAATTAACTTGATCCAGAAATAATACAATAATTGAAGAAATGTATAATATTTAGCTTTGAAATATATATGAAAACAGTAGAGATGGCAATTCTTGGAACAGTGTTTCCGGGTACAACGAGGATGAGATCAAAAAACAAGAAAATAAAATTGTATAAAGCTTTGTATAGAATAGAGTGTAGGTTTAGCCAGATAATTCGTGTCCTTTACAATGATAACTGAGCTCACTATTTATAGCTATGTCTAGGAATTCCTAGGATCATGTCCTCCTTTAATGTCAATTATAAGGGTCATTGGTGAAGACGTAACGGTAAACATAAATGCCAAATTCTCTGTAACGGACCGTCACTCTTAATGCTGCAGAATATTCCCTATTAAATGCTACCAGACGCAGAGTATTTAACACACCTTTATGAACGTTATCCTTTCCGGTGACAAGCGTAATAACTACGTTCGGTCTTCGGTCATTCCTGTCTTGAGTTCCACATGTCCTCTCTTTAAACGTACACGTGTCATATCATATTTCACCCTATATAAATACAAATTATAACTTCCATCATACTATACTCTCCAAAGAGCAATTGTCTCCGACCCTGACTAGTATGTATATTTTGCCATTTCAAAATGTCAACGATGGATGATAGTGCGATTAAAAAATTAACGTAAGATATTCTAATAGAACCAACGTTTCTTGCACTCACGTCATAATTCAAGTTATACTGATGTGATGTATGTTATAGATAGCTGACTTTTGTTTGTCTCTATTTTATTTGTGAATGAGAAGATAACTTACAAAATTGGTTCACCTTTTCACATAGAGTATATAAAACAATTGCACATATAAAAAACTGTGGATATCTATCTTCCCTTATTTGGTTACGGATAAAAAAGGAAGGGAAATAAAGAGAAAATGTTCTTTTCAAAAAGCCGTACGGATCATAAGTGGAAAGCATTAGCTAATTTGTTTCAAAAATATATTTCCCTTAGTATCTAAAATAATAAGGAACAGCTCATGTAGTTTTTTTTCTTCTTTTTCTGGATTTATTAAAATACTGTACTCCGTCCGTAGCACTACATGTAAAAGAGTTTGATTGAGTGAGAAGTTTAAGAAAGAAAGACCGGTTATTTTTCTAACTTTTCATTTTATTCTTTTTTTTAAAAAAATTGTAATTTTTATTTTTTTAGGAAAGCTTGAGCTTTTGGTCAAACATGTTTGTTGTTCCAGTACTTGTACAATACCCTTTTAATTCATGGTTCACGTGCAGAAATAAGTCAATGGAGTTCGTGGATTTACCTAGGTCAATTTATGGGCTAATCAATAAAGAATTTTTATCTTCGAAACCCATTGGAAAGGACAGTGCAAGAGAAATCATACAAAAATGATCGAATCTTCAGACGCCCTAAAAAGGATATGAGGTGCTAGGAATTATGGTTGAAGTAGTTGAATAGAAGGATCACTATGACTATAGCCCTTAATAAGTTTATCAAGGACAAAAATGATTTATTTGATATTACGGAGGAACCCTATTTTCTTTTTTTAGAGATTAAAGTCACGTGCCTACCAAAAAAAAAAAAAGCTTAGATCGTGTTTTCCTCTTTCACCGTTTGTGTCAAATTCATATATCCCCACCATTAATAACCTCCCAGAACTTCTTTTCTTTTCTAGACAGATTACCAGTCACCCTTTCTAAAATTTAATTAAAAACAATAATTCTGGTTATATAATTGCAAAACCAAAAAAAGAGACCCCCCACCCCACCCAAGTACTCCAAACGAAATCAGAATTTAGAGTTTATGAATTTTAACAATGATCTCAAATTAACACTAATAATAGTTGGATTTACGATCAAATATTTATAAGTATTTAGTGAATTTCTAACTATATGCACAAAGTTTGGCAAAGATTACTGAATTCACGCCAACTCTTAGCCGACCCTCTAGATCCGTCCCCGTTAACTCAAGAGAAGCAGAAAGAGAAAGAATTCTGGTAAGATCCGTCGTGCTTCAATCAGAAAAAGAAAAATATGGATCATCATCCATGACACTTCTATGTAAACATGTAGAGAAAGGAGAAAATATCGAAAATATCGAGAATGGAGAAAATATTGATCAAAGGAAATATTCTTATCAAGAAAGAAGCTAATCCAAAGTAGATGTTCGAAATTGTGAGATACAGTCAAGCATCTCTATAACAGCATTCTTATATAATAGATTTTTATTATAAAAGACAAGCTTTACTTCACTATAACAGCCAAAAGATATCGGAACAAATGAGACTTGTTATAAAAATGTTTGACAGTATTTTCAATGTCACTCTCTCGACATGCATAGGCTAGCTGCGCACGCCAATGCAAATATTTACATATTGTCAATTACCCCAATTGCTTCAAGTATCTGACTTTGGTTATAAATTATAAAATACTTGCAAAGAAAGAGATTGAACAGTTGGAAATAAGATAAAATAATATAAGTCGTCTTTCCTGTTAATCTTAATCAAAGAAGTAAAAGATGCCTTGTTGCTAGTGAACTTAAGGCCATTGTCCATTGTAGAATAAATATCGAAGTATATACGAATGTCAAGGCACAAATCTTGTGAACCGTTTGTAATTTATATGCCAGCGTTTTTTAAGTATGTTAACGTTAGTCTAACTCAATCCCAAAAGTTAGTTTTTGAAGTGAAAATTATCCTAGACCATATATATATATATAAAAGGAGAAGAATTATGCATCCCACAATCAATGTGGGACTTTTAACATTGGCGCCTAGATACCTAAGACTTGACATTTGAAGCATGGATGATGTTAAGAAATAGACCTTAGATCTAATTCGATACAGAAGCTAACTTTAAAAGTGAGGTTGTCCAAAATTATATAACGAGACGAATTATCCATCTCAAAACCGACATGAGACTTCGAACAAAGTAAACTTTAGCCAGAGAAAGAGATGTGTTATAGAGTTTGTAATATTGGAGTGAAATAATAGTATATTCTCAGGTACCATGAGTTAAAATAAATTTACTTAAAGAATTAATATTCAAGTACCTTGAGTAAAATATGATTTCAAGAATTATTTTGAGGTATGCGAGTGAAATAATTGGTAATATGCTTAGCTTAGCTTGTTGTATTGCAGAAGAGCATTGTGAGCATTGTCTGCTAACCCAAGAGACAGACAATCACTCTTTTGAGATAATAATAGGGAAAAATTAAAAAAAATAGCAAGATTTACAACTGGTAATTGAAAAATAGCCACAATTTCAAAAGCAGTGTTTTTGAGAGCGAGAAGCGAAAAAAAGCGACAGGGGCTTGCCTCGCTTCAAAAGCGAAGCGCACGCTTCATTGAAGTGAAGCGCGATTCTTAAAAAACATAATGTAAACCTTGCAAAGACACAACAAAAATACATAATCAAATAAACTGAAAATATATATAATAATTAATTTTATAAACTAAAATACACATTAAAAAAGACAAATAAACTAATATATATATATNTTAAAATACATATTAAAATTAATAAACAAGAAGAATAAAAAGGGAAGAAAAAGAAAAAAAAAACAACGCATGCCCTAGCTGTGCAGACGCTGGACGAGAAAAACTGAAAAAGAGAAGAGAAGAAGAAGAAGGAAGAAAGAAGGAAGAAGAAAGAAAAAAAGATAAAATACCTTAGGGTGAGCAGACGCCTGGACGGGAATAAGAAGAAGAAAGAAGGAAGAAAAAAGAAGAAAGAAAAAAAGGAGAAGAAGAAGAAAGAAGAAAAAAGAAAAAAAGAAGAAAAATTACCTGGAGGAAGTCTCTGGCGACTGAAACCCTAGCAGCAGCAATTGATTTTGCGAAGAAGAGAGAAATGGTCGATCAATTTGGTCTTAGGGGTCTGTTTTGTATAATAAAACAACATACCCAAACTTTTTTTTTTTAAAACTGACCCCTTTCGACTGAAGCGAGCGCTTCTGCGCTTCACGCTTCAAAGTCGCTTCGCGCTTCTTCGACTGAAGCGAGCGCTTCATCTGGTCGAGTCGCCTCAGGCATGGAAAAGCGAGCAACCATCGCTTCGCGTCGCTTCTCGCTTAAAGCGACGAAGCGATCGCTTTTTAAAACACTGTTCAAAAGTAATCTAAATTTATCCATTTTTCATGTAAAGATAAAATCTGAACAAAAATACCCTTAAAACCCCGAAAATATTCTAGCGTAATATGCTGGAGCTAGAGTTCGGATTTTTTTACTATGAGCTTCCAGCATAATGTGCTGGAATTTCATAATATGTTGGAGTTCCAACATAATATGCGGGAAATTTATATACAGGAGTTCTATAATCTCACATATTATGCTGGAACTTTCCGTGTGTTGGAATTCCAACATAATATGCTGAAAGTTTATATGCAGGAGCTCCATAATCCCGCATATTATGCTGGAACTTTCCATGATGGAGTTCCAATATAATATGTTAGGAGTTTTCTACGCAAGAGCTCCATAATCCCGCATATTATGCTGGATCTTTTCGTGTTTCAGCAAAACAATGACTATTTTTTAATGATTTTGCAAACGCTGGCTATTTTTCGATTACTAGTCCGAAAACAGGCTAGCCCATGCTATTTTCACACCGTAATGGTATCACGCTCAAGCCTTCTTCTTCATTTTTCTTCTATTTCTATATTCTTGTCTCTTTTCCGCCTCTCTATCAGAAATTTTCTAACAATACGTTCAGAAACAGAATATAGAAATGAAAAAGGTACGGAAAAGGAAAATAAGTCGGCTGAAATTTGGTTGACTTAATATATACTAGTATATCAGAAGACTATGTCTAACATAAAGATAATGGTGTGCATTAATTTCAGATGATAATTAACAACTTGCCAACTTATCACAGACAGCTTCAAACACCATTACCTATATGCAAATTTAGTTATGACTATCAATCCATAACTTAAAGTAGTAAGCTTGTTGACATGATACAAAGGTATATGCTCATTATATTCTGGAGATGATTCTGTTTTATATGAAATAGTATTAGTGAGATAACTCTTATAAATAGTTGGCATTTACCAAAGCTTAATAATCAATTCATATCTCTATTCCATCAGTTCTCTCCTAAATTCATAAGGTGTACAATCTTCTGAAGAAGGTAATTTCCAATCAAAGAAACTTAAGTAGTTTTGCATTTTTGATTTGGCATTAGGATTTTCTTTACTTTTTTTCCTAAATATCACATGCAATTAGGGGTGGCAAACGGGAGGGTCGGGTCGGATATAAGCGAGTCGAAACCGGGTAATTCAAAAAACGGATAAATTATCCGGCCTGACCCGCATTTGAGACGGATAAAAAACGAGTTATCCGACGGATAATATGGATATCCATATTATCCATGGCTTCTTGAATATGATCACCTATGGGAGAGTTCCTAGTCTTCCAAACTTGAGGAATCCCCCAATTTGAGGCTTTACAAAATGTAAAAGTTAAACACATTAGTTATCTATTGGTTATCCATTTGGTTAACCATTTTCTAAGTAGATAATATGGTTCTTATCCATATTCGACCCGTTTTTAAAAAGTTTATTATCAAACCCATTTTTTAATGGATAATATGGGTGGATAATTATTTTCTTTTAATCATTTTGCCACCTCTACATGCAATAGACATTCACCCTACTGGATTCACGTTAATCCGTAATCAAGCCTCTAGATTGCCCCAGCATTTCAATACTTTGCATCCTTATTACTACAAATTAAGCTATAAAAATTGAGTCGTGGAAACAGCCTCTTGCAGAAATATAGGGTAAGACTGCGTACAATAGACCCTAGTACCCCGACCATTCCCCGGCCCCGCACATAGCAGGAGCTTAGTGCACCGGGCTGCCCTTTAAGCTGTAAAAATTGACTATGCTATTCTGTAATAATTTTACTATGTATTTGGTTTCTCTTGTTTCTGTTATTTAAGTGTTTCTATTTTCATTGATAACTTCGAAAAGATACATAGTAGTAGCTAAATTAACATTGAATCCAAGAATTATTTTCTACCTAAAATTCATTGACTGAAAAGAAAGTTGCAGTAACTGTGACGTTTGAAGACTAAAAGAGTCAAGATTATACAAAGAAATTCTTTTTATGGCTAATTCAATTTATTGAATTAATGTTGTGTCTTAAAATGCAGATAATCTTGAACTGTTGGAACAAGAAGCAATTTTAGCAATGTCTGCAGATAACAATCTACAAGTGCTTAATGCACTTGATGTGGCCAAGACTCAACTCTACCATTTCACCACAATTGTTATTGCTGGAATGGGATTTTTCACTGATGCCTATGATCTCTTCAGCATTTCACTTGTAACCAAATTACTTGGGCGTTTATACTACACCAAGCCAGAGTTATTGAAGCCCGGAACACTCCCTCCGACCGTCTCAGCGTCGGTCACGGGTGTCGCCCTTGTCGGCACCCTCGCCGGCCAGCTTTTCTTCGGCTGGCTCGGTGACAAGATGGGCCGAAAAACGGTCTATGGTATGACTTTGATTATCATGGTTTTGTGTTCCGTTGCATCAGGGCTCTCCTTTGGGAGTACTCCTAAGGGTGTTATGGCCACTCTCTGTTTCTTCAGGTTTTGGCTTGGATTTGGCATCGGTGGCGATTACCCTTTATCNCCGGCTGAGATTTTCCCGGCCAGACTTCGATCAACATGTCATGGTATTTCTGCAGCTGCAGGTAAAGCCGGAGCTATAGTAGGAGCGTACGGATTCCTGTACGCTGCACAAAGCAAAGATCCAACGAAAACCGATGCAGGATACCCGGCGGGTATCGGCATAAAGAACTCGCTCATTGCCCTAGGGGCCATCAATGCTCTGGGAATGGTTTGTACCTTCTGTGTGCCAGAGTCCAAAGGAAAATCCCTGGAGGAAGCATCACAGGAAACTATAACTGAAGAATGAACAGGGAATGAATAGCCTCAAATGGATTTTGGAGGTAGACTTTGTGATGCTAATGCAGTTTTTTTTCCTCCTTTATTTTCTATGTATTTGTTGCTTTAATTTCCTTTTTCTTTGTATTGTCTAAGCTTGTTTGCTGTAATTTTTAAATTATTTATTTTTAAACCAAGTGTGTAATTATAATTATTTCACTTCATTGTGAGGTGAAAAAGGTTTTGCTTTTTATTTATATTACAGATTACAGATTTGTTTTTAACTGGGTGATAATGACTTGACCTTTCTTTTAAGATTTGACCTTTTACTATTGCGTGTTGTATAATTTTATTTGGAATACCTCATCTTTCTTTCACTTTTTTTTTCTTATGTTCCTAAATTTTGTCGATTTGTAGGATATATTACCATTTGTAGAGGTAGAAATAGAAAATTCAACAGAAGCTACCTATTACGGTAACTTAAACTTTAGGGCGTCCACAGGAGTTTTGTCCATCCTTTTTTTGTTTTTTCAGTTGCAAGAGCTTTATTTTGATGCACTTGGCTGAAAGTTTGGTCAGTAGTTTATTAGTTATTTACAATTAATCATTACTTTCTTTTCTTTTATCACGAACATAGTTTTTGTGATCTCTTTTTGTATAACATAAAGAAGCTTTCCCCCAACTTGATGAGCAGCATAGTCAAAAGAAGATTTAGGACATATTCCCGATTCATCCAATAAATCAATTTCATATGCTTGAGAAAGTTTAATATTTCTTTTCCAATGGTAACATGTGAGATAGAGATGAAGGAACGAGAGGATTCTTGTGCTTCTCTTCAAATGAAATGACAGAAAACTTCCCATTTGATTGACGATTTACGACCATGTGAGCTAAACAGCCCGTCCTAGTTTCCTTTCTAGGTTTCTTGACCATCGCATCTGGCTTGTCTATTCCTCTAAAACCTTCTTTATAACATGTAAATTTTCTTGAAGTCACATATCCACGGACTTTACTTTTGTTAGCATATTCCTTTCTAACACTAAACCCAATCATTGTAGCAGCAAATTCGTGGTAATATTCATATGCAAACTCGTCTGAATCAAATTCCATCCCAAGTTTTATTGGCTCAAATGAATGAGAAACATCCATATGTTCATTTTGAGACGAGATTTCAATAAATCTACCATTAAAAAGGAGAACGTAAGACACATGTCATAATTCAGCACTTACTTTTTAGAAGCTTTTGCTTAACACTTGACTTATAAAGGAATTACGAGGCATAGTCCTTGCCGACTCCCAACTTTTTTTATCATATTGATACAATATTTATCAGGAATAGCATATTGCATATTAGTTTGACGGTCTATTAAGCTTGACTCATAAGATACTCAAATGTAATTTTAATTTTGAGTTAAACCAAAGAACAGAATAGTTCAGTTAGTAAATTTCACAAGCACGTTGTATACAATTTTTAAATACATTGTATTCAGGAAATGAAGATTGCATAGCAATATCTTAGTTTGATAATCTGTTAACCTTGACTCATAAGATATTCAAATCTAACCTTAATTCTGTAAGATAAGATAATAAACTTTTAAAGTTACTATCTTTCCTGTTAAAATCTATGTAACGTTCACAGTTAGTAAATTCAACAAACATGTTGTGTACAATTTTCTACGTGACAATTGCAACAACAAGAAAATGTACAAACAAAAAGCATCTGATTTCTAAGGAATCGAAAAGGATAAAGAAGAACCTGGTGAGAATTGGTTAGTTTATTTCCAGCGAAAATGGAGCTCCACAGCTTGCTGTCTTGTTCTCTGTTTTTCCACTTCTTGTGTTCAATTCTAGTGATTTTTAATCTTACAATGATCTTCAGAAACTTGATTTCCATGTTAAAAATTTGAAAGACTTTATCTGGTGAAATGATTTTCGGTGTTTTCAAACTTTTGAGAGCAGATGGATTTTGACGAGGAAAAGACCAAAACAATATCATTTTTATGTTTACAATCAAAGTAATACATATTCACACTAATAGTACATTTACTTTAATAAAATAGTACATTTTTAGTCATAACACAAAAAAATCCAAAAATATATATTATCTTTGGCTTTAGATTCAAAGTCATACATATTATTCCACATAAAGAACTAATAGTCCATTTACTTTAACAAAGTGGTGCACTTTTAGTCATAACACTAAACACATTTTAATTTTTAATAAAAATCTAAGATCTCACAAAATATTTATTCCCTTTATTTTCCTATTTACCGAAAGAAATAAAGATGACAGATTTATCTAGATAGCAAATAGTAAATATACATAGAATTTATTTACTTTTTATCTATTTACTATACGTAAAATATACATTTTACTAAGAAATGTTAAACACCGTTAATTTTTATTTGAAATAATTTTTATCTAGATAACCTCAAATGTTATTTAGATTTTTTATTATATACATAATTTTTACTATAAGTTGACATAAAATAAATATACGTAAAATCATTGCTGAGAGTAAAACAAATTTTATTACTAAAAAAATATACGTAATATATATTTATTAGATTTTTTTATTTTATGGAAGTCAGCGTATAGTAAACATAATATTTATTTTTATTTTATATATATTTACTATACGCTGACTCCCATAAAATAAAAAAATCTAATAAATATATATTACGTATATTTATTTTAGTAATAAAATTTATTTTACTCTCAACAATGATTTTACATATATTTATTTTATGTCAACGTTTAGTAAATATTATGTATATAATAAAAATCTAGATAACATTTGAGGTTATCTAGATAAAAATCATTGCAAATAAAAATTAACGGTGTTTAACATTTCTTAGTAAAATGTATATTTTACGTATAGTAAATAGATAAATAGTAAATAAATTCTATGTATATTTATTATTTGCTATCTGTCACGACCTAATTTCACCTATAGGTCGTGATGGCGCCCAACACTACAGCTAGGCAAGCCAACTAATAAGTTATACGTACATTGGTTAAACTTTTATTTCAGAAAAATAATAAAATACCAACTTCTACCAATGTGTGTGTGCCAAGACCCGGTGTTACAAGTGCATGAGCATCTAGTAAATTATACAAAACTCTAAATACTGTCTGAAATGAAATAGACAGAATATAAATATAAGAAGAGACACGGGTAGCTGCAGAACGGCTCAGAAAGGCAGCTCACCACTATGCCTCGGGATGACGTGGGTATGTGATGATAGGTCCTCCACTAGTACCTGTCTCAGATCCTGCACAAAAAGTGCAGCAAGTGTAGTATGAGTACGTAAACAACGTGTACCCAGTAAGTATCAAGCCTAATCTCGAAGTGGTAGAGACGAGATGGCCGACTTTGACACTCATTATGGGTCAATAATAATAACTGAAATATAACTAGAATATTTAAATCAGCATAATTTACAGAACTTACAATAATTTGTTTAATTAGTAGAGATAATCAAATTCCTTCAAATGTAACAATTCTCAATATATTAATTAAATTCCTTCAATTCAGAAAAATTTTAATTTATCAATTAAATCTCATTTACAGGAGTAACAATTAATTCCATAAACAAGCAAGAATAATAATTCACTAAATTTCAAGAATTTTTTAATTTATTAATTAGCTTCTCAAGCTGAAATAAATTATTAAAGTATCGTGTAATTATTATTATTAAGCACGATTTCTGTCGAGGACGTACGACCCGATCCAGAGTGTCGTGTACACTGCCGAGGGACGTGCGGCGTGATCCATAGATGCATCTATCCTGCCGAGGTGTTCGGCCCGCTCCACAAGAAAGGAGGACATTTTTCTTATGTGCCTCTGGAAGGAGAGTATATTTATTATAAAATAAATTTAGGAGGAGAATAATTTTTTTTAACAATTAATTAATTAAAACAGACAATCAAGCCTATGAGATTTCCATCCTTTAATATCTTATCTAACAATTCACGATATATTCATATAGATATCAATTAATATAAATAAATCAAAGAATACAATTTACACAAGTAAGGCATGCTTTGAGTCCTAAACTACCCGGACTTTAGCATTAATAGTAGCTACGCACGGACTCTCGTCACCACGTGCGTACGTAGCCTCCCTCCTCTCCCCCCTACAATTAGCAACAATTATTTAATTTTAATCACCTTGGAGGTAATTTCCCCCTCACAAGGTTAGACAAGAGACTTACCTCGTCTTGCTCCAATTTAATCTACAATTTTGCCTTTTTCACGATTATTCAACTCTGTCTGGCTCGAATCTAGCCAAAATAATTTGATACAATCACTAAAAATTATAGGAAATAAATTCTATAAGGAAAAACTACATTTTTAATAAAAATTCTGAAATTAATTAAAAATTCGCCTGCGGGGCCCACATCTCGGAATCCTGCGAAAGTTATGAAATCCGACAACCCATTTAATTACGAGTCCAACCATACCAGTTTCACTCAAATCCGACTCTGTATCGATACCGAAATCTCAAAATTTCGTTTCTATGAGATTTCTAAACTTTTTCAAATTTCAATCTCAAAACACTAATTAAATTGTGAAAACAATGATATACTTGTATATGTAGACCAAATCCGAGTTAGAATCACTTACTCCAATATTTTTCCCTTGAAAATCTGACAAAAGTCGCCTCTGCTCAAGCTCAAGTTCGTCAAAAATGGCAAATAGGACGAATGTCCTCTTTTTATAAAACTGCCCAGCAGCCTTCGGACCTGGTCCTCGAACTGGACCTCGATCGCGGATTCGATCACAAGCTCAAACCTGGACCTCGGTCATGGCCTCGATCAGGGCATCGAGGTTGGGCCTTCGATCATAGCCTCAATCATGATATCGAGCTTGAGCCTTCGATCAGGGCATCGAGCATGGGTCTCGATCCTAGCCCTCGAGCCTTACCTTCGATCATACCCTCGAGCCTTGCCTTCGATCGAGGCTTCGATACTGAGCCTCGTCCCTGGATTCGACTTAGGCCTCGATCGTGGGATCGATATCTGGGTTCGATTTGGGGCTCGATCTGGGGCTCGATCACAGCCCAGAATATACAGCAGAAGAGAAAATTGCAGCAGCTTTTTAAGTCCAACTTTTGATCCGACTCCGGTATCAAAAAGTCAACTCATCGGTCTAACTTCCAAACTTAAATTCTTATTTTTAGCCAT